TGAGCAAACTGTTTCTCTCTCAGTGCTCTGCTTCCGACTCCCAGCTCCACAGCCGCACTGCTTGAATAAAACAGAAGCTATAGTCAAGTGGACATTTTAGGGTTAGAGCCCAGCTGTACACGATGATGATGTTCTCTGCCTGACATGTTCAACTTTCTTACATGCTTTAAGGATAAGTGGGCAAAAACATCAACCATATTATATTCTGTATTTAAAACTCTTATGTTGTGTCCGGGTCTCCCGTGACCCGTTTCAAGTTTTTTGTATCGGAACTAGGCTTCATGATATCCTCCACAACAGCTATAGAAACACTACAAAAACTGATTTTGACCATTTTAGCCAAGTCTGAAGGTCTCTAAAAAAAAAAAAGTATATCCTTTGGTGTTTGGGTCGGGGGAGACCCAGCAGAATTTTTTTGGGTCACTCGAGGTCAAATTTGGCCCAATCAAGATTCATCTTTGACTTTAGACACCTCTTCCCCTTCATCCACTGTAACAATACTTTAAAACTTCTTGGGGGGAGATTGTATTCTAATATTAGTCTATTATAGTCAGATAACGTAATGATCCACTGTCTTCACTATAGGAAATATAATGAGTGAATTTAATCACATGTTTTACTTCAATATGTGTTGTAATGTTTTTTGGGGCCATAAAATAAAAACGCGATTGTACGGTTATGAATGCATTATAAGTTAGTTATGATGTAGTTAAAACAATATTGGATGATAGTCATTATTTTTGAGTGTTTTGGACTGAGATAAATCATGGGTCAAAATCGACCGGTAACAGCTTTCAAACACAAGACAAGGGTTAACTCAAAGATATCAGGCTGCTGATTTTATTACATATGAATCAATGTATACGTTCCAGCTTCTCTAACACTTCTATTTGCTGTTTCTCTTTGTCATATATGGGAATATATCAAGTATTTAAAGGTTAAGAACATAGGCCAGATAACAGCTAATTGAAAACATCGCATTGGCTTATTAGGAATTGTGATTGCAATGTTTTCCCATTTCATATATTAACCACTTAACGGACTTATCAAGAAAATAATCGGCAAATGACTTGATTATGAAAAGAATAAGTTAGTTGCAGCCCCTACCCCAAGCTAATCCTAAGCCTTAGCATCGTTGGTGCCATGCACAGTGTTGAACATATTGTAATTCTTAAAGAGACTCTGTGTCAATGTTCATTCATTTATTTTTGTATCATTTCGGCTCACTTATCTTTCCTTTTTCTCCGTGTGAAACTGAATATGTTTACACTGAAACCAGAGGCTCTTCTGTTTTCTCAAAAGTCTTAAAAAAAACAATTGCAGGAAAACTTTACAACTTCCTTGACCTTTCTTTACCCACTGAATGCTTTGCCACTCAACAGACTGGCAGTGGGCCCAACACGGCTCCCTCCGGGGGCCCTAACATAATGGTTGGAAAAGGGAGTACGTCTGTTGTGTTTTCGTGCCCCGAACAGAAGAAGACAGGGTCTGCTTTTTCATTTGTATACTGGAGAGGAAATGCCTTCACTTGTTTGGCTGCATTGCACTGCTACCATCTGTGTCCTGAGTACACGTGTAAAGCGATGACATGTTTTGTTGCATCGAGGAAATAACCGGGGAAAGTTACAAAGACGGTTGACTGTATGTAAGTGGCATGCGAGGAATGTCTTTCACAGTTTTGCACAAACAGCTTTGAAGTGTCCACATGGTTTTATCAAGAGCAGCACCTCGGTATGTTTTTCCATCAGAGGGGGCCACCTGTGTTCCTGGAAGGATTAGTTTGGAGAAAGATGGAGGACGGATTAGATGGTGTTACTGGTTTAGCCTGGGAGTTTGAGCTACCCCCCCCCTAAAGCGGGCAGTGTTTTAAAAAATGAACAAGCTTTGTCTTTATTCAGCGCACACACACAATGAGCACAATTTCAGCTTTCATCAGCATGTCCTAGTTTCAGCTCCCTGCTTCACTTCCTGTTTGTGTTCTATGGGAAGCTGTTGGTACCGCTCTCAGCGAAAGATGTGAATGAACATGGAGCAGGCAGTGATGTTGAAAGCATTGACCCTCTGCTTTTGATCTCTCTACTAAGAGGGAAAAACATGACCATCAGCTTTGAGATGATGCGAGTTGATGTCCATATAAGGACTTGTTTTTTTAAGTGGCTTGAAATAAGACTATTTGTAAAGAATATTGCTTTTATTTGACTTTTTTATTGTTATTTAACTTTGTTTTTTGAAGGGGCAGGTAAAATAAGATGCTCTTCTCCCTGCTCCTTTCCACCATACACTATAAAAAAACAGTATAAGTGTACATTTTTATTTAAAAATAACTGTCATGTGTGGAATAAACTAATGAAACAAAAATAAATTCCATTTAAAAAAAGCTGAAAACTTCAGTTAAATTGTGACGATTTTGTTGTTATTTGAAAATCCGTTCCATGTCCTAAAACAGTCCTGTGTTCTCTCTGTGTACTTTGTGGTGATTGTGTTTGGCTCCGTCTTTAAAGAGGCCAGAAAGAGAAAAAGAAAGAAAATGAGACGGGAACATGCTTGGCCCCGGGAGTGGAAAAGATGGGGTCCTTTGCATTCTTTCCATACAGTCAATCTGAAATATTTGAGACTGTAGCCACAATTGATGGTTTCGCATACTTTTCTCCCTGTGAGGCAGCTTTTGAGTGGCGCTGTTTTATTCACAGTGATGTCACTGTGGAAAGGGAAAAAAGAAACCTGCAACACTGCCATCTAGTGGCGACCTTCTGTCTGCATTGTTATTATGCCTGCTTCTATGTAGGGTAGGTAAGAATGGAGAAAGCAGCTCGAGTGCGCTAGAATTTGAAAGTACACAGCCGAAAAAAAATCTGTCCCCTTCCTTCCGACCACATGACCAATGAGGGCACGAGATAAGTTTGTGCACGAGATGGAAGGCTGACAGGCAGGTAGGCCATCCCATGGAATATAACAAAAAGTGTTTCTGAAGTGAATTACCTACCCTACCTTTAAGGAGGGAATTTCTTTCTTCTAGTGAAAGTTGATCTGGATTTCAAAAAGCAATCACTTTGTATCACACTGTATACTTTACTTCATGTATGTGTGTTGTTTTCTTTATAGTTGCATATTAGGCTCTAGGTTAGATTTAGGGAGAGTGAGTTTACTTTTATTATCGTGATCTATGACTTCCTTAAGATACAAATAAATTACCATTTTGACAGAGTTTGTAGCAGCCAAAAAAAGCTTGTAAATGAGGCTCTCCACTGTTAAATTAATTGTGAATATACTTCCCAATTGTATTCCTCACTAATTAATCAATATAATTTAAAATATATATGAAAATGACAAAAATCATCATAATGGACACAAAATCCCAATTGGATGCCTTTTTAAATTGCTTGTTTTCACTTTTGCTTTAAAATATGACTAAATAATAAATATCAACATAGTCGCCAGTTGATTATCTGACTATAAAGTAAGTGTAATCAAAATGCTTCACCTCTACCCCTGCATACAGTTAATAAACTGTACTATAAACCTGAAACACCAGCTTGATAATTGAGTAATTGCTCACTTACCTATAGTTTGCATACTTTTGAACCTTTTATAAATTGATTTGTCCTTTTTAATTGCCACTTGCAGTTGAGCAGGAATGTGTCTCATGAGTTTTCATTGTGCTGAAATGAACCCAGTAAACCCAGGCTGCAGTTCCTGGTCTCCCAGCAGGTGGCAGTATGAGTCTGAACATCTCCTCTGCTCCTGTTTCTGACCACAGACACTGAACATAAGGATCTGGTTAGTGAGAATATCGCTGTGATGTAATGGTCCAGGCGGCCCTGAGGACCCTTTCTCTCTGTTTACGCTCCATAAAGGCCAAACCCAAATAACTAGAAGAGTTTGTGCTGACGTCAAGGGACCATGTTGAGTCAGTCGTGTAGTGTCATTAGGATGTTAAATAGTAGTAATGTCTCACATGTTGGTTGATTATTAGATTTACATGGATTTTCATGCTTTCTTTGTAGGGTGTGATATGCTAAGATACACTTTAAAACATATTTAATCAACCACACTCAGTATGCTATTTGTGTTTTTATAAGAAATGGTCTTATTGCATACGATATTGCATCAGAATCACGGGTTATTTTGCGACTAAAACAAGATTTCATTGACATTCTTTAATTGTTAATTTCACATTTTTTAAATCAGCCTGAACCAACAATAGTGAGGCTTTTAGTGCTGGTGTGATTTTATTAATCTCTCCTTTTAACATAACACCAAACCAGCAGACACAAAGCGTTATTCAGCTTTTGTGGTCAACAGTTGAATACAATTTTCAATTAGTTTGTGTTTGCTTCCATTAGAAACATAACCCAGACACAGGGTGGGCATTTTGTGTGGTTTCATGTGTGTGTGTGTGTGTGTCTGGCGGGGATTTTAACACAGAATCTCTGTTACCCCTCCACTGTGCTGTCGCCACATCTACCTCCAAATGCATCCCAGTAGACACACACACACACACACACACACACACACACACACACACACACACACACACACACACACACACACACACACACACACAGTCAGTGCCCCAGTGTGCACACACACAGTGAAGTAGCTGTACTGGCTGCCAGCTCTCAGAGAGGGCCACTTTGTTTCACCTCTGACTTGGATTCACGCCAAACAATCTGAGAGTCGCTCACTGGGTCATTTGATGGAGTAATTGAATTGGGGGGGGGGGGG